TTCTTTTTCAATAGTTCTTTTACCCAGAATGAAAATAGAAGCTCTGCAACAAAACTACCTAGCTTAAAGGATACTACACCGTCACATAGGACTTACATTTTAGTCTTGTGTATAATAATATTAATGTCAACAGCTATTTGTAAAAAATATAGTATTATTTCTACACCTAAGACGTTGTAGCCCAGTAGAAAAGTATTTCCACCGATCAGTCAGTCAGTTGCAACGTAGAACTTCGTACGTATGTACATAAGTTCATGTTGCCATACCACATTATTAGCACAGAGACGCAAATGTCAAATCAAATCCCATAGTGATAAAGATGGTAGAGGTATTAATGTTATAATAAAGAAGACTAGGGTTTAAGATATTATTCAAATAATATAATTCAGTGAGATAAGGTTAGAAAGACAAAGGCAAAGGAGCTGACGAATCCAGAAGATTAGGATTTGAGAGAGCTCAAAGAGTGGATGCACCTGCGCCATTGCAAACGATTTTGAGCCATGTCGTTCAAGGTCTCTAACCATTGATGACTTTCGTCTCGCGGACCCCAACCAGGTAGTCTACATCTACCAACATGACTCAGTCCACTTGTCAGGGACTTCATGGATTTCTGCCATGTTTTGGTCTGGCCGCCCCTAGCTTTCTTCCAACCTACTCCTACACCACAAAACATAGCTCGTCGAGGCAGTCGGTGGTTAGGCATACGTAACACATGTCCCAACCACCTCAACTGATGAAGTTTCACCACTTCATCTATTGATCTGCCATCCTTACCTAGTACTCGTTTCCTAACGACAGCATTGCTTACTCGGCTGTCCCACGATATACGAGCAATGCTTCTTAAACATCTATGATCGAATACTAGTAACCTACGAACATCTTCTACTCTTAACGGCCATGTTTCACAGCCATATAAGAGAACGGAACGAACTGCTGCGCAGTACACCCGCCCCTTGGTTAGCGAACGGATGTCACGCCTACGCCATAAGTGACGCAGGTTGGCAAAAGCCAATCGAGCCTTCTGTATCCGAGCTGAGATTTCGTCAGTCACCAGACCGTCAGCACTGATGAGACTCCCCAGATAAGTGAAGTGATCTACACGCTCGACTACTTCACTCCCTATCACTAGTTCAGGTGCCGAAGCAACCCAGTCTTGAAGCAACATTTTGCATTTCGAGGGGGAAAACCGCATCCCGAACATGCTCGCATTGTTGCTTATGGTAGTCAGAAGACTCTGCATTTTGTCAGCGTCTTCACCGAATAGAACTATGTCATCGGCATATTCTAGATCAGTAAGCGACTTTCCTGGTAGAAGGTCAACCCCTGAAAAATCTGACGAGCTTAATGTTAACTCTAAGAGGATGTCTACGACAAAGTTGAACAAGAATGGAGAGAGTGGGCAGCCCTGACGGACACCACTTGATGTAGAGAATTCACATGACAGTTCGCCATATGCTCTCACTCGACCAGTGGTGTTCGAGTAGAGTGCTTGTATAAGGTTAATGTACTTCTGTGGTACACCTTTCAATGACAGACACTGCCACAGAACT